AGAGTCACTGTCAGACTCTGAATTTTCAGAAATACGATCCTCAAATACTGAAACCTCTTTTTCTGAATCCTCTCCCTCTACATCATCAAAAACTTCTCTCCCAAAATTAATTCCAGGGCCCTCTGCGCTGAGTACCTTTTGGCCATCTTGATCGGTTGTGATAAGAATCCCGCCTCCATTTTTTAACAGATAGACAGAGGGTCAAACATTTGAGAAAATTAGAACAGACAGTGTTTTTTTGTGTGTGTTTCTGCACCTGCGGTTCCCACACAAGGTTTAAACATTTTGTCAACACTGCTCTCATTTTCTTGCACATTTGGCCCTCTGATGTTCAGTGTACCTACACTCTGTCCGTCTCCTGTCTAGGCCTGCGCGTGTGTGTGTGTGAGTAATAGAAATGTGTATGGGGGATGTATGGTGTGTGGTCATTAAATATGTATTCTGATATATGTTCTTCACAGAAAATGAGCCAAAGTCAGTTTGTCTCAGTTTGAAAAATGAATTCATTGTATAATTTTTCTTTTAATAAAAAATGAAAACACCACACAAGTGTTAAACAAAATGCACCCTGGTGCTCACATCAAGCTTAAAAAAAGAGCATGCATATAGCATAGGACCAATGACATCAGCCCAAGGAAACTTAAAACCAATAGTGTCCCTACATTCCCCCTGCAAGGAGCTGATACTAGTAGCTCACAGAGATGAGAAAAGTTGGTGATGATGTTTTAAAGGTTCAGGCTTGTTATTGTTTTCAGGATAGTGTTTAATTGAATTATCATCCTGATAAATAGATGTTCTTTTTTGATTATGTCTTAATCTCCTGCATGATGTGCAGAGACTGTTTTCATTAGAAAAATTGATAAGACTATAATTTTCTTACGGGTTGAAATATTTAAATGTAGTTCCTGGATCTGAGGATGAAACAGATCAACATTAGGGGACAGTTTTCCATAGACATTTAAGAAATATTTCAGAAAAAATATGTCCAAGCAGGATCTTTCAGTTCACTGTCTGAAATTAATCTAATCGATTCCTTCATTTCATCTGCATCAGGTCATCACTTTAATAGTTGGTTAAAGAAACGTTGGCTTAATATTTTACAGTCTGCTTTGATTCTCTTGTTTTCTCCATCTTAGACACACGGCTGAGATAAAAAATAATCATCTGGCAACAAAGATGTGGTGGAGTCGGATTCTGCTCTTTCTGATGTGTAAGTTGATGAAAGCAACTAAACTCACTGGAAGCTGTTGGAGGAAATAATGAGCCTGATTCAGAGGTTCTTCTGGCTTGATTTTTTTTCTTCTGTTTTTATAGCTATAGTGAAATACTGGTAGATTTTTTATCATTTATTAGTTTTCACAGCAATATGTTTATGTTTTCAGGTCAGAGTTGTTTCATCAACTGTCAGCTCTATGAGTATCACTACATTAATGATGTAAAGACCTGGACTGAAGCTCAGCAGTACTGCAGAGAGAAACACACTGACCTGGCCACAGTGTCTAACATGACAGACATGAAGAGACTCCTCAGTACCAGAGCGGGAGATAAGAGTGAGGCTTGGATTGGTCTGTATGATCAGACAGATGGTATCAGAACATGGTACTGGTCTCTGCCTGGAGTGGAGTTCAATGAAAGGGAAACAAACTGGAGACCTGGAGAACCAAGTGGTTATAAAACTGAGAACTGTGGGCTTCTGTTATCGAATCTTATATGGCTAGATGTCTATTGCAGATTTAAATTACCTTTCCTCTGTTATGATGGTAAGAATTAGGAATTTTTCATTTTTTATGGATTACCAAACTGTATATTTCAGATAGTTAATTTTAGTTTATTTTTTCTAAAAAGGAAAGCATTCAAAGTTAATGTGATATGAGTTTATCTGTTTACTCCACAGAAACTAATAGAACCCAGAAATACCGCTTGATTAGAGAGGGGAAGACCTGGCAGGAAGCTCAGAGTTACTGCAGAGAGAAACACACAGACCTGATCAGTGGAATGAAGCAGCTACAGGATGGAGAACTGGAGGAAGTGATGAAGTCTGCAGACAATTATTCATTCTTTGGTCTGTTCAGAGACACCTGGAGGTGGTCAGATGGAAGCAGTTTCTCTTTCAGACACTGGGAGACATTGCCAAACAATGAGAGAACCAACAGTGTTCGATGTGCCGTGGCTGGGATTGATAAAGAAGGCAGATGGAAGACTGACAGCTGTAATCAGAGAAAACCCTTCATCTGTTATGATGGTGAGATTTTTTTAGGCACCTCTTCTGAT